GGCTGGCTTTGAACTGTGATCCTCACATCTCAGCCTCCTGAGTAGCTAGGATTATAGATGTGAGCCACCGGCACCTGGCTTGTCATTTCTTGAATAGAACATTTGGCGCAGGCCAACCTGGATTTCAGTCTTCCTTATACTTCCCTAGTAGTTGCAATGACAAGCATGCACCAGCTTCCCCAGCTTTTATTACTTGAGATGGGCTTTCACTAACTTTTTTGCCTAAGCCAGTTTCAGACTCCTGAGTAGCCAGGATTATAGGTGTAAGCCAACTCACTCATTTGAAAACAATCATCTTTTGAAGACATGTCTCTTGTTTGCAGTTCTGGATACCTAAGATATAATATTGAACAATGGAGAAGTTCTGCGCTTTTTACATTTCTTTTGAGACAGCTTTGAATATTTTATTGTGAACTTAGATTAATTTTCTATTGAGGATATTTTGACCATAATGTTTTGAGGTATTTGGGGATTCTTTTGGACTTAGAGTCTCAGAGTTTATATAAGCTATTAATGTTACAGTATATTAGAGAATAATGAGTATTTTAATTGTCTTTTTTTTTTTTTAGTTGGTACAGCATTTGCCTCATCTTTATATGTGCCTTCAGTACCCAAGCACTGCAGTGAGGCATATGGCTGCTCGCTGTGTAGGTGTCATGAGTAAAATAGCTACCATGGAAACAATGAACATTTTTTTGGAGAAGGTTCTTCCATGGCTAGGAGCAATTGATGACAATGTCAAACAAGAGGGTGCAATTGAAGCACTTGCCTGTATCCTTTATTTTGAAAAACTGTTGAGTAATGTTAATCATTTTACTTAGGGATGCAAAGTTATTTATTTAAAAGTTTTTGTTTTGTGGGCTGGGATGTAGCTCAGTGGCAAAGCGCTTGCCTAGCAAGTGCAACGTCCTGGGTTCGATCCCCAGTACAAAAAAAGAAAAGATTTTTAAAAAATACAGTTAAAAAAATTTGCTTTGTTCCAAGAAGAAAACTTTTATTTTGATTTATTTAATTACAAGGTTGCTACAAGTATAAATATATTTTATAGTAAAAAAAAAGATTTCATATACAAATTTTAAAGACAGTTTTTTAACATGCAAAATAGTTTTATGTACTTTTAAACTACATATTCAATAACAAACTGGGGTTTGGAGTTTATAATTGATGCTTTATTAATATAATTCAGATACTATGTTATAAATAGTGTTTCCAAACTGTTCATTTTATTGGGTCAAGAAGACTAAAATACACTAGAAAACTAGAAATACATTGGAATATTTCTGTTAAAGACATGGCAGCCATTCTTTAACTCAAAAGTATCTGAAAGAAATGTCTCAGAGCAAGAAAGATGAAGATCAGATCAGTAGAAACTCTGGTTCAAAATATTGAAGATTACAGAAGGACTTCACTTACCTAGATCTAATATATCCAGTTGGTGATTGTCAAGATTCTGGTGAGAAATTTGGAATTAATCTCTGAGTGACACTAAGTTGTACTCTCTTCCTTCATTTATTCTGACACTGAAATTCTAAGACAATAATATTTTTAGCAAAATTCCTTTAGTCTTTGGATAGAAACATGATTTTATATTTTTAATTATGAAAGAGTTAATGAACAGTGGTGTTCAATGAACAGTAGTGCTCAAGTAGTGTTATGATTGGGTCATAGTCATTCTATTCCCTCATAGTACAGATGAGAAAATGAAGGACTTTTTCAGAGTTTGCAGTCTTGTTATATTAATTTGTTTTTGAAAACTATCAAAATTTCCTTAATTGCTTGTTAAGGTGTAATGGAACAACTGGACGTTGGTATTGTTCCATATATTGTCCTTTTAGTTGTTCCTGTGTTGGGAAGAATGAGTGACCAGACAGACAGTGTAAGATTTATGGCCACACAGTGCTTTGCCACACTGATTAGACTCATGCCACTTGAGGTAAGTTGAAGACATTTCGTTTATGGATTTAATATTTTCTGTAGCTTCATAATAATTGTACTTCTTAAAGAACATGTCAGGTTAAAATGTTAATCATTAAGATTTGTAGAACATCTTTTTACATTTCTATTTGTTTGTTTTTTAAATTCTTTTTGCTGGTCCTAAGTTTTGAACTCTGGGCCTAAGTGTTGTCCCTGAGATCCTTTTGCTCAATGCTAGCACTCTACCACTTGATCCACAGCTCCACTTCCAACTTTTTCTGTGATTTAGTTGATGGTAATAGTCTCACAAACTTTCTTGCCTGGGCTGGCTTTGAACTGTGATCCTCAGATCTCAGCTTCCTGAGAAGGTAGGATTACAGGCGTGAGCCGCTGACACCTGACTTCCCTTTTTTAGTATAAATGAATTGGGCAGTTTCTACAAGAATGGTAATTTGTTGACGATGTTCTAGAAATAGCCTTTTTTCTCGAGGATAAAATTCAGATGATAGGAAAATTTGAGAGAGTAATTAAAACTGCAAGAAGCAAAGCCAGGTGCCAGTGGCTTGTAATACTAGCTACTCAGGAGGCTGAGATCTGAGGATTGTGGTTAGAAGCCAGTCTGGGCAGGAAAGACTGTTAGAATCCTAAATTCAGTCTCCCATACCAGCACTAATCTGTAAGAAGTGTGTAGACATATGGGTCTAGTTCAAAAGGATCATGTTGGATCATTATGATGGAGTATACTCTAATATCAAAAATATAGAAATAGTTTATATGACTAGTGTAAGAAATAGAAATGCCTTCAGGAATGAGATAGATCTGGCTGGGATATAGAAATAGTTTATATGACTAGTGTAAGAAATAGAAATGTCTTCAGGAATGAGATAGATCTGGCTGGGTGATAGATCTGGCTGGGTATGTTGGTACATACCTGAAATTCCTTTTTTAGATGGATGAAGCAGGAAGATTATGTAAGGCCAGCCTTAACTGTAGTGAAACCTTTTCTTAGCTATAACCATTACCAAGTTGCTTACAGTGTTTTTGTTGTTGTTGATCAGTAATAGGGCCTGGGTGCTACTGAGCTTTTCTGCTCAAAGCTCTACCATTTTGAGCCACAGTTCCACTTCCAGTTTTCTAGTGGTTAACTGGAGATGAGTTTCACGAGCTTTCCTGCTCAGGCTGGCTTTGAACTGCAATCCTCAGATCTCAACCTCCTAAGTAGCTAGGATTACAGCTGTGAGCCACCAGTGACTGGCTTCTTATGTCTTGATAGGATTTATGGCTCTACCAACTTGAGCCACAGCTATACTTCTGAATTTTTATTTTATTTTTTTCTTTTTGGCCAGGCTTGAACTCAGGGCCTGGGCACTATCTTAAGCTTCTTTTGCTCAAGGCTAGCACTCTTCCATTTGAGCCACTTTCATCCTTTTCTGTTCATTGAGGAATCGAGTCCAGGACTTCATGCATGGTAGGCAAGGACTCTACCACTAAGCCACATTCCTAGCCCCACTTCTGGCTTTTTTTTGTTGTTGTTGTTAAATAGAGATAAGAGTCTCAGAAGCCAGATGCTGGTGGCTGACACCTATAATCCTAACTACTCTGAGATCTGAGGATTGTGGTTCAAACGCAGCCTGAGCAGGAAAATCCGTGGGACTCTTATCTCCAATAAGCCACCAGAAAACCAGAAGTGTCATAGTGGCTCGAGTGGTAGAGTACTCGCCTTGAGTTGAAGAGCTGAGGAACAGTGTCCAAGCCCAGAGTTTATGCCCCATGACCAACCAAAAAAAAAGTCTTAGAGACTTTCTTGCCAGAACTGATTTCAAACCTTGATGCTTAATTCTCAGCTTCCTGAGTAGTTAAGATAATAGACTTGAACCACTAGCTTCCAGCTTTGTATTTTTTTTGAATCTTTTTTGTTTGACTAATGGTAGAGAGCCAAATCCACATGTTTACTTGAGCATTTATTCTGTTGCAATATGTTAGTTTGGTTAAAGAAAGTCCAGCTTCAGTGACATAGATATTTGAGAAAAGGAGCAGTATTTTGACAGTCTTTTCAAATAATTGTGGGTAGTCTTTGATCTAACATTTACAACAACCCAAAAGACAAAGTTTGTGTTCTAAGACTCTAAAGTTCTATAAATGTTTCATACTTTATTACATTAAAATTCATTGATTTATCTTACACATTTGAATAATCTTTTACTGATAACATGTTTTGCAACATGCATTGGTCATTTGGAAAATGTTGGTTTACCAGGTAAAATAAATATCAGGTAATGCTTTTAGAAAGTATGGGGATGGTTATCAGGTTTCCTAGCAGACTTGAATTTTGTCAGTGGCAACAAGATATATTTTTTTCTTGATGTTCCAAGTTAATTTTTGAGAAATAAGTCAAATATCCAAATAGAATAATCATTTTTTTTTTTTTTTTTTTGAGGATGAGGGTACTACGGTATGAACTCAGAGCCTTAGGATTGCTAGGAAACCAGTCTTATCACTTGAGCCTTGCCCCTATACCTTTGCCAGTCTTTTTGGATAAAATACTGTTTCATAAAGTGAAAGTAGCTGTGTTAATATACATACTATCCCTATGGGCAAATTTTGTGTAAATACAATAATAATATCTAGTTTAACTATCATAAATGCTTTTGTGAAGGGGGGTATTAGAGTTTTAAGCTAGGGCTTCATGCTTGCTAGTCAGATACTGTATCTCTTGAGCTCAACCCCCACATCCTTTTTTGCTTAATTTGGAAATAAGATCTTATTTTTTAATCAGGCCCGTCTGACAGCTGACCTTTTGCTTTGTTTTGTGTTTTGTTGTTCATGGGGCTTGAACTCTGGGACTGGGCGCTATTCCTGAGCTCAAGGTGAGTGCTCTACCACTTGAGCCACAGTGCCACTTCTGGTTTTTGTTGGTTAATTGGAGGTAAGAGTCTCACAAGCCAGGCACTGGTGGGTCACCCTGTAATCCTAGCTACTCAGGAGGCTGAGATCTGAGGATCACGATTCAAAGCTAGCCTGGGCAGGAAAGTCCATGAGACTCTTTAATAAACCTCTAGAAAACTGGAAGTGGCGCTGTGGCTCAAGTGGTAGAGCACTTGCCTTGAGCTGAAGAGCTGAGGGACAACGCCCAAGCCCAGAGTTCAAGCCCCACGACTGACAAAAAAAAAAAAAGTCTCACAGACTTTCCTGCCCATGCTGGGTTTGAACCGCAAACCTCAGATCTTAGCCTCCTGAGTAGCTTAAATTACAGGTGTGAGCCACCAGCACCTGGCTGTCCTTTTATACTTCCCTTGTAGCTAGAATGACTACCATGGCCCAGTTACTGGTTGAAATGGGTCTTGATTACTTTCTGTTCATGCTGGCATTGAACCATGATCCTTTTAACCTCCACCTCTTGATATCTGGGATTACAGGTATAAGCCTCTATTCTGAGCCATAAATCTGAATTTTAAGAATATGACATATATTAGTGAAACAAAGTTGTATCCATTAATTTATGAATATCACAGAATTCATGAAAATTTTAGATTAATGAAGACTTTATTTATTAAATAATAGCTATTTCTGCACACCATTTAAGCAATTTCATAAGGGTTTTTCCTCAGTATATTAAATTTTGACAAGGAGCAGAAGTGCTTTATGTAGTGCACCTTTTATGTCACAGGATGTTATAAAGATCGTCTACTTAAGGGTTGCGGTTTGTTAACAGTTAATATATTTACTACTTTATCGGGGACATGTTCAAGCAAAACTGGCTATTTTAGAAAATGCTGTTGAGTATCTGTAAGGAATGCAGTGATGCCTGCTGGTACATTTTGGTGTCCCTGCTTTGATTCTTCCCGAGGCCCAAACATTTTCACAAATGTCAACAATAAAAAAAAAAAAACCCACTATAGAGTGCTAGCCTTGAGCTGGAGAGCTGAGGGACAGCACCCAGGCCCAGAGTTCAGGCCCATGACTGGACCCCCCCCCCC